GACGCCAAGGCCTTACCCATCCCAGAATAACTTTAATCAAAAACCGCAGACACGTTTCCAATAGCCTTGGTAATCGCTATCAGAGAGACGAATGTATCCAAGTCACGGTTTCTGATCTAATTTTCAGAAATCATAAATATTTCGGTTTCAGCTTTGTTGTGTAACATTATAATATTGTAAATGTTTTCATTGCAATCAACCTCGAAATATGATTACAATTAAAAATAAGCCAGAAAACGGTTTTCCACTTTCTTACATACGGCCTCTGGCAATCACTAAAATTCGAAGTACAAATACCAAGAACTTAGCCAAATTTAGAGCGTAATTTCTTCTCACTGACAATTTCTTTCAACAAATTACCGCTTCATATTTACAAGAATAAAAGTCCCGTTTTGAGTTCACAGTTCAACTTTTTCATGTTCAAGAAAAGAGCTTGCCAATTGTTTGCTACTACACTTTTTTATTTACAACCATCAAGGAATTCCGTTTCCCGAAAAAGTCATTCCCGAAATTTGGACTAGTTATGCCGGTTTACAAAAAAAAGAATTCCATTAATTTTGAGACCCTTTTCCTCCTTGATAGGTTTTCTGTCCCGCTCTTTCGAGGGGACTCCAAAAATTGGTAATAATACTCAAAGTTTGCTCCTTTGCACGGAAATCTTTAGTAAAAGGCGAAAGATTTTCACGGTCAAATGCAGAGGAACCAGAGTTGGTGAGGATAACCTGGAAAGAGTATATAAGGGCGGCTATGTACGGACACCTCCCGGGTTTAGCGAGTCACCATAGAATACGTGGCAAAGGGGCGGGGCTTAGCAGAGGGGGAGGGGTTGGGGGGAAAGGATTGCTCATTCGTTACATACGAGGAGAAGCACAGTGAAGCCATGAATGTAAAATTGGGTTGAGGTGGAGATTCATTCTGGTCAAACTTCCCGGCTCCACATTTTTCAAGAATTACACAAATTTTTTTTTCAAAAAATCCCCGCTTCAGATTCGCCACAAAGTTTACTTTTTATCGATTTTTGTCTCTCGGCAATCTTCAGAAATTAAACAAATAATTTTTATAATCTTACCTGTGGAGAAATAACCGGTAGAGACATGAGCAATGGAGAAAGAACACTTGGGCAAAACAGTTGAGGAGAGATCACAAGAGGTCCGAGGACGGAGAGCTGTAAATATTATTTTTATTTTCCAGTTTCAGAACCAAAATCTAATACACTTTTAATATATTTTTGAGTTGTAGACCCTCGTCTCTCAAAAAATGTACCTTATTAATAGTCGGTGCAAATGCTTGAGGAGAGAAAACTGTCGGATTCAAGAACACAATTTGGTATACACCATTCAACAACGAAATTGTTTGTCTCTTCGCACGTCTTCCATTTTTCCCGAATCCCTGTGCTCCATTTCCTTTCGCCAACTCTCTGATCGTCATTCGAATCGATTCTTCTTTTTGATCTGGTGTCAATTGATCAACTTCGTGAATGTCAAATGGAAGATCGGAAACTGAAGTGTTATAGATTCCAGTTTCTCCATATAATGCTTGCATTTGTTCCTTGTTCATGAATGAAAACTTTCTATTGACAAAGTCCAGATTTTGTGAGCCAGTGAGAGATGCGGAGAGGGTGGAATAGGCCTTTAATGAATGAAGCTAAGCTAATAATTAGTAGGAGTTTGTGAAGAAAAAACAAAAATGTTGAAACAGAAAAATATTTCAATAAACTATTTATCATAATATCATCAATATTTTATCGTATGACAAGTTTTTGATATGTCTTTTAGGAAATTCGATAACTGAGCTCAAACTGCAGGTGTACGGTATTTTCCCTACCTGATCAATCATCGATGTCATATCAACCAAATCCTTATCCAAACCACTCTTCCTCAACCCATTCACCAGATCCAATGCGTCATCAACTACAGTATTGACTCCAGTTATATCCATCACCAATTCCAGTACATTATCTCTGTCCTTCGGATTCATTCCAGTCTTTTCCAGAACATTCGGAAGTGGGAGAATACTGTTTTCACTGTCGTCACGGTATAAAGGAAACATGTCAGGCGAGAGGAGACGTCTGAAAGATATTATAGTTGACGGTGAAGGAACAATAAAAATGCAAAAATGTTAGTTTTTTGTGGATAAGATGATACAGTAAATTTTAACTCAATTTTTCTCTTTCAACTGTGCTACAGAAAAGTCAGTCGAATTAGAGCCAATTTATCTCGGTCCATGTAAAAGAAAACAAAAAATTGTCAATGGAAAACTTCGGCAAAAATTCCTGTTTAAACACTTGGTAACTCCTAACAGACTTTTGAAAAAAATGTTTTTCTCATTGCTATATTAGTTAATTATTCTCACCAACCTCTTCGTGTTCAATTTCTCTGGCATAATTGGCATGAACCTAGGTGACAAGAAGTTTGCATTCGAGTCCTTATTATGTTTTTGTACTGCATCCACCAATCCAAAAACATTTTCATCAATCATTCCATTTGGTGTTATATCTCTGACTCGATCACTAAATGATTTCGCTTGTCTTAATGGGTGATTTTTTCCAATGACCATATCCAGCATTCGATTTTTGAATCGATTCTTCTCACGAGCACCGAACACAGCGTCTTGGAGCTGGAAATTTGAAATTGTTTTCTAAATTATTTGAATCCCCTCGAGAAGTTGAACTGGTGGATCGAATACTTGAGATGCCGTGCCTCTACCATCTGACCTATACGGTCGAGAGTTCGACCGACGGTGTGTTTTGAAATTTTTAAAAATAAATATTGAAGAAACAGATTTATCGAAAAAACTGCTAGTCCGAATCGATTTTAAATCGAAAAGTATCCCGGGGTTCTAACTTTCAAAAAAAGTGGAGGTGAATTACTAGTTAGAAAATGTCACTTTTTCGAGCGTCCAAAAATGATAGCACATGTTTTGAAAACTTCCTTTTTTTGGATTTTGGACAAGTTTGTTATGAAAAAGGTGAGAAGTACCGACTATGAACGAATCATACAAAGAAAACTTCCAGAAACAGTAAACTTACATTTCTCAAATTCGCATAACTCGATGTCATATTCTTTGTTGGTTTCACTCTAGCAAATTCTCTAATCATTTTTGTGAATTCTTGTATTGGACTCTTTCGATTTTCATGCAATTCTGGCATTTTCGCATAATTCTTTGGCTTATAAAGTACGCCATCCAAGCTATCCAATCGTTTCGCTTCAACCGCTGCTTCTTTCTGAATTGTTCAGTTCAGTGTTGCAATATCGAAAATTTAAAATGTCTAACTTTTTCATGGCTTTTTGAACAGTAAAAATGTTTAGTTTCAGGTTGTTTTCAAAACTTCTGCTCGTTTTCGGTTTTCTTGATTTTTTATTTGCCCTTTAAAACAACTCACATTACTATACAACGATAAAATATTCCTCTTCACTCTCCTTCTTCTGAATTTCATCGAATTTATCTTCTCCATTTTGTTCAACATCTTCGGTGTCATCTTATACTGACCCGCGAAATTTCTTCTCTTCAATTTTCGAAATCTAGCGAGTTTTAGTTTTTCAGCTTGAATTTCGTTGATTTTCTGAAATAGTTTTTTCTCAATTTATAGCACTTCATGTCATTTTCCAACCTTCACCACTCTCTTCTTCAACTGCTTTTGAACGATTCGTTTCTGAATTCTCTTCTTTCTCAACTTCCTTATATCCAATTTTCCAATAGGTACAGTATCTTGTTTATCAATAAAATCCAGTTTCGGGTCTAAAGAAGCTGATCCATATTTGTCTTCTAATTTTCCATCGAATGCATTCACTAGACATTTTGCACCAGCTTTTACATCATATTCTTTTGAGATTGAATCCAAGCAAGCAACGAATGCACGTCGTTGGGGTCTGGAAAAGGTTGGAATTTACTGGTAAGTTGATGGCTGTGTTTTGGAAATAAGGAACATGAAACAGTTTTTTTCGGAAATAAATTTTGGAAAAGTGCATCTGCTGATCAGAGGCCGTATGAAAGAAAGTGGAAAACAGACGGTATGACGGTATTTCGGTATGCAAGAAAATTTTCGTTTTCCGGAAACCATTTTCCAGGCGTTTTCTTTTCCGAAATCGTTTTCCGACCTCGGAGGTCGGAAAATGGAGAGGAAAGCGATTTTCCGGAACAGAAAAAGGGTTAATATCGGCGAATTTTTCGATATCTCGTTGTTCTTTTGAAGATGTATGAAACAAAACAATTTTAAGAAAATAAGCTATTTTTAGTGTCTTGTGAGCAAAATTTTCCAAATTTTCTAAATGGCTTAGCTGGCTGCCACCAGTCTGAGCAAATCATATAAATTTCAAAGGGAACATATTTAAATATGTGTTTATTAGGGCAATTTAAAATTTAATCAATTTTTCTTACTTTTTGAGGAGTCATTTTCCAGCTCACGGTTCCATTGTGTTTCCCTTTTCACTCTAAAACTATCATCAGCCGAGTTGAATGATGAAATATCAATCTCTGCTAGCTCCAAAAATCTTAAATTACCCATATTTTACAATTTTCCTTCAATTATGATGAAGACAGGATCAGATTTCGAAAGAAGAGTAGCGGAATCTCATAAAAACATTCCACCTAGAAGAAATGTTTCCAATCTTCATAATTTTTACTTTTATCAGTCTTCCGAACATCGTATTTTGTATTTTTAGGTTTATTTTAGTAAAAACTCGAAATTATCCATTTTCGGGATAGCAATATCACTGGCGTATATCCTGACACCGGAAATACGCCAACATTTACCGGAAAATGGAGGCTGGAAAACGATCATTTACCGGAAAATGTTTTCCATTTCGTGTTCCGCTTCTTGCATACGGAAAACGGCATTTGCCGGAAAACGGGTTTTCCAAGGAAAACATTTTCCAAAGAAAACGGTTTTCTGGAAAATCGTTCTTGCTTACGGCCTCAGGAGTAATCAGTTCTTTTCCTCGTTGATAGGTTTTCTGTCCCGCTCTTTCGAGGGGACTCCAAAAATTGGCAATAATACTCAAAGTTTGCTCCTTTGCACGGAAATCTTTAGTAAAAGGCGAAAGATTTTCACGGTCAAATGCAGAGGAACCAGAGTTGATGAGGATAACCTGGAAAGGGTATATAAGGGCGGCTATGTACGGACACCTCCCGGGTTCCGCGAGTCACTATAGAGGACGTGGCAAAGGGGCGGGTATTTGGGGGAAGAGGTCGTTGGGAAACGATTGTACGTTCGTAGGAGACAGATGAAGAACCAATTGAAAGAACCAATTGAACCTAGATTTGTGTTAACACAGAAACTGTAAAAGTTCGAATTGTGAAAATATTATTTTAAGGTTGTTTTTCACATTCAAAAAGCTAATTTTCAAGACATCAAAGAGTTACCTATTTAAAATTTCAAGAAGTTTCACAAAACTTTAAATTTTCACGAAAACTGAAAGCCGTTTTTGGTTACTGGCACAATTATGGCTTAAAAATTGCAATTTGGGTGATAATTCAGCAGAACGAATCTTTTAGAAGCTTCCAAAATGGGAGTTCTTTACGAAATTGGAAACATTTTTCAACTGTCACAATGTTTTTGTATAGCGGCAAGAAGAGTGAGAAATGTTGCCAATACAATATGCAGGCGAACATAACAATAAAGCGGTACAAGGTGGAAGGTGTAGGCACCTATCTTTGTACACCGTCACGTAAAGATTCATACCTTGAAGGGGGACTCCGAACAAAAATTTTTATTGCATTAAAATGTTCGAAAAGTTGTCTATTTTCCCAATATTATAGCGAAAAAATTCGAAAAAAAATCCGAAATCCCCGAAAAATGCCGTTAAAAGCGAAAAACTTTCAAAAAAAAGTTGCTAGGAGGGACGAAGGATTTNNNNCNANNNTCTTCTTTAGCTGATATTTTTCGCCTATCTCGTCAAGTGACTTTTGGCATTCAATTTGTTCAATGCAATTCAAGCATAAGTTTTCATTCGAATAGAAGTAAAAACGATTTTTTGTGTGGTTAAACATATCGAATTGAAACAAAGCCTAATACACGGATAAAACACGGATAAAACAACTTTATGAAACAGTCAAAACTTACACAATTTTTTTTCTACAAGTGCTTTTTTAAAAGTTTTATTAGAAGTATAGGATATTGGTAGCACAATAGCTAAATGCAAATTAATCAGAAAGTGTAGTATTTGTTCCTATTTTTAAAAATGTTTAACTAAACCGATTTAACAACTTCCGATACTTTTTTTCAATGACTCAAACTTTGTTTCAGCTCCAACAACTTCATTATGGTTGGTACATTCAAGCAGTTAGTTCACTTCTCGGCTCTGTTGGCAAACAAATATACATGAAAATGAGAAAGTGAGCATTATTTTTGTTTCTTTTCAAATCGCCATCACACCCTATCATCAACACTTGTTTCCTAAAACGGCAGTAAATCAAAAAGTGAAATTGGAGGGTGAGAAAGACCAGTATTTGGCACTTTTATGACCCTTTTATTGTTGCCTTCTCTCTTCTGTCTAATCAGAAACAAAAACGATTCTCGAGGAAAATTCGTCAGAAGAGGGAACAATGCGTCGTTAATACGCAATTTAATGAGGGATGATTAGCAGGAAAAGATACGAAATATGCCTGGAATCGACAATTTATGATTATTGTTCTTTTGGTTTCGTGAGGTGGCGAAATATCGCATGTCGAGGTTGTTGCGATTGGACTGAATGGATAGAAAGAAACTAAAGTTAACGAAAATTTGAAAAGGGATACCTTTGTATGAAAATCTAAATTAATGATAAGGGGACATTAGAACTTTGGAATTTTTCGTAGTTAAAAGGGGACTCCGACCAAAAATTGTTATTGCCTTAAAATTTTTCAAAAATATGTATTTTCCAAATATTGTTGCGAAAAAATTTAAAAAAAATCTTAACTCCCCGAAAAACGGCGTTGAAAAAAATAGGATTTGAATTCCCATCCATCGCCAATTCCAGTACATTATCTCTGTCCTTCGGACTCATTCCAGTCTTTTCCAGAACATTCGGAAGTGGGAGAATACTGTTTTCACTGTCGTCACGGTATAAAGGAAACATGTCAGGCGAGAGGAGACGTCTGAAAGATATTATAGTTGACGGTGAAGGAACAATAAAAATGCAAAAATGTTAGTTTTTTGTGGATAAGATGATACAGTAAATTTTAACTCAATTTTTCTCTTTCAACTGTGCTACAGAAAAGTCAGTCGAATTACAGCCAATTTATCTCGG